GTGCATAGAGATGGCCAAGCCTAGGGCTGTGATTAATCAAGTTCAATACCCTATTTCCAAGAGCAGTTAAGTGCCACATGTTTCAGACAATGTTACAAAAACAGCCTGTCATGGACAATTAAGGGAATTACTTCTTCATGGAGAAAATAATCTTTCAGGCCCTGGGCCTTAATCAACAGAACCCAGGATTGATCTGTGAATCCAGTCCCTTGCTATTTTAAGCATCCACAGCTTGTAATGTCTTTCAGGAAGTGATCAAAAAGAATTGGTTAAGCCCTGAACTGTGAAAGTTTATCACATTACTCTAAGTGGATCTGTCTCCACTGTAACTATGATATATCTACACATTTCTTTTTCATCCCTGAATTCCTCACATCACTAATGTTTTATGACAAAATGCAGCATATGCTAATACCTTATATTTGTTGGCAGGCTTTAATTTTACATCCTTTCAAAGCAGCAGGATTGGAGTCCAGCTCAGATTCAGGAACCAAGTGTGTGTGTTGTAGATGCCTTAAATTTGAATGCTGAATTGCTACAGTCCCAGAGGGAACTGGGTGGTTTAGTCTGGACAACAGGAGGGTCAGGGGGAACCTCATTGCTCTCAGTTACCTGAAGGGAGGTGTAGTGAGGTGGGGATTGATCTCTTCTACCATGTCTTAAGTGAAAGGATGAGAGGAAGTGGCCTGAACTTGTTGCAAGGGCAGTTCAGATGAGAGATAAAAATATATGTGTCACTAAAAGAGTGGGTAGGCATTGGAATAGGCTGCCCAGGGAAGTGGTGGATTCACTGTCCCTGAAAGTGTTTAGGAAGCATCTGGATGTGGCGCCTGGGGATATGATTTAGAGGTGATTATGGTGCTGCTGGGTTGATGGTTGTACTGGAGGATCCTGAAGGTCTCTTCCAGCCTTAATGATCCTGAGATACCTACAATTAATTTAAACATGAGCAAAATACAGTGTAAAGCAAGGGAAAGGCCAGAAGCTTCAAGGACCAAACTTGGTCCTTGTTCAAGGGTCTTTTTGAACCTGGTTGAAGCCAAGACATTTGACTTAAGTACTCAAAAAAGCCAAACCCACAGACTCAAGATACCTCAGTTGGGCTAAGAGGTGACAACACATAAATACATTGCTAGCAGTTTCATTCTGACTTTTATTAAAAACTAGTCAGTTGCCTCAACCACCTCTTGGTGTGCTTTTCACAGATTGGCATTTTGGAACATAGCCAAGCATTTCTTGAATTGTTGTTGCATCCATTTATGTGCCAAAATGTTTTCTGTGTGTTAGCTACAGATGGAAACTGTCCTTGGTGTGCCTGAGCCCAGGACTTGGAGCACCTGTATGATATTTAAACTGTAGGTGGTTCCTAGTTTTCCATGAGTGGCTGCCATCAGATTCAGCAACATTGCAGGTAACAACTCAGCTGACTGAAGAAGGGAGATTTAGTTTAAAATTAGGAAATAGCAGATAATTTCTAATCTGCTTGTGGTAAGCACTCTTATATGAAATGTTTCACAAATTTAAGACTGAAAACTTTTCACTGAACTTTTCTTGTTTTACGAGTCTCATAATTATGAAAATAAGGCCTGAAATGCTTATTTTAAAGCTTTCTTCTTATTTATTCAAACACAACTGTAAAAGAATCTTATAAAGACTCAGAGAACTCATTTAATTACACTCAGTTAATGTTAGAAATTTTTGCAGTGTGCAGTCTGAAAGTTATTAATCAGTTAAAATAAAAAGTTTAGAGAAGAGACTAGAATCTATAATTAAATCTGAATGTAAATTTCTATCTTACATAATGTGAATGTGGGCTCCATACAACTCCATAATTTTCTAGAGAGAAGTTTTAAAGGTGATAACATGGAGTGACTGGTGCAAAAAAGAGAGTTAATAGCTGTGCTGTAAGCCTGGAGTTTAAATAGGTCATGAGTGTGTCAATCTGCACAGGTGTGTGGGTTGAAAATTTCAGATTAAAGTGGTTTTGTTAGCCAACAGGGTTTTGGCAAAATGCATATTTTCTCCTTAATAAAAAAAATTATTGCAATGACTTGGAAATATCTTCGTCCTAGGTCAGAGAAGTTATATTTCAGTCATCTCCTGCACAAGTTCTCCCCTACTGGCTGCTTTTTGTGGCTAACTTCATTTTCAGATCATTGATGCTCATGATGAAAAGGGCTCCTCTCTCACCAGAAGGGTGACTCTTGCTTCTGTCATATCTAGTACATAGAGAGGAATGGAAATTTAAGGTAACCAAACTGCAGCCTCCATGAGACATCATGGAATTGCTTTCAAGCTGAGAAGCTAGAAGATCTTGGTATGATTTTTAGGGTGGGAAAAATATTTAAATTTGTGCTTGAAGAAGTACTAGCACTTTTAAATGCATATCATTTGCAAATTTATTTATTTCGGTAACATCTTGAAATGTGTATCAACTAAAAGGAGAAACATGCATAGCCCAACACAGACAAGTGCAGATGGGCATTACACCATTACACCATTAGGGATGTCAGTTTGCATTGTTAAACTGTACTTTTTTCACAGCTACAATGTGCTGCAGTCACAGGCTAGCTCGTGATGCCAGAATGGTGTGAGGACACAAACTGACCATGGGAATCAGATACAGCAATTTCCCTTTCTCCCAGTGAAGCAAAGGTTATAGTACCTTTATTTGTGGTTGCTTACAAAAGTCACATTTCTTGACCTTTGTTGAAAAAAAGCTTCATGAAGAAACTGCAAGGGCCAGCTGGGGCCCACTTAATTACTGTGCAAAACCCCTGAGATGTAACTGGCTGCTCTGGGAAGTTTCTGGCATCTCCTTAAAAACAGAGCAGAGTAAGAGTCAACAGGGACACTGAGCCCTTTCCAGGAGGGCTCTTCCACTCTTACATGTTGCATGCAAAATTGAGGAGAGGGAGTGGTACAAGATTTTTTTTCCATCTCAATCATGTCCAGTCTCAAACTGACACAGCAGAGTTTTAAAGCCATTTCTGTTTACAAATTCCAAACACTTGGGGCCTACACTATAAAATGGTGTCACAGCTCTAATATCCATCAGATCCAATCGAATCTGGGCAATTTTCTCAGCACAGAAACATCAAACTTGCAACCTCAGTTCACTGCAACCTTATGATCTCCTGGTTTATAAACCTGCCACTACAGCTTACTTCCATAAACTGAAATTGAAATTGCTTTAGTGCAATAATATCTGGTCTATTAACTTAGAAATTGTCTTGATCCTTTGAAGATGGCAGGAGTTGCATTCCTCAACAAAATCAGAAAAATAATAAAAAAACAAAACATGTCTTTTCACTTGCACAGAAAATGTTAGCCTACTGCACAGGATCTGATATGAACTCTTACAGCACAGGGAAGTAAATCTGTGTTTGGTTTGTTTGGTGAATAAACCCAGAGCTCAGAGCATGCCTGAGCCACAGGGACCAGTTTATAAGTTAACAAATCATAAAGTTTCAGGGAAGAGAGGTGCCAAGTCTGATGACTATCTGATGAGAAAATTGCTTATGGAGAAAAAACTTAAATTTGCTTCAAGTGAATGTTTGAGTAAGTTTCATTTTCCCTAAATTCTTATGGCAGAACAAAATTAATAACATATTTAAAGAAAGGGAAAACAGAAAGAATTGTGTGTGATTTTCTATAAAATTACAAGTTAAGAACCAAAATTTCTTTCAGTAAATGCTGTAATGAGTATATTTTCTTCAGTAGTTACCAAGAGCTTTTTGAAGGCACCCAGCAGGCAAATAGGACATACACCCACAGACGCCATTCAGCCAACTGTAGCACAGAAGAAATCAAACTCTTTTTTTCTTTCTGTATTTTTAATGCAATTGCAATTTTCTTTTGATTTTAAAAACAACTTTTCTTAAGAAAATATTTAAACTATTTTTGTTTATTTCTCTGGTTTAAATTTTCTTTGGGCTTGAAGTTAAACTATAATTAAACTCAGAAAAGACATCATGGATCACATCACTACACCTTTAGGGACAGCTATTGGCATAGCAGTCACTTATATCAGCTGAAGAAGTGATAAACTTTCTAGTGGCTAACTTAAACTTACTTTTATTTCTTTTTTTTTTTTAATTCTCTTCTTTAGTTATATTTTCTTCTCTCCCAAAGCTTTGTACCAAAGCACACATCAAAGACAGAGCCTGTGATGATGGATATCCAGCGTGATTCTTCTCAGCACTCAGTGGGTTTTCCTAGCATCTCCCAATTGCTTTTTCCTGGCTGTATTCATTATCTGCCTTCAAAGCAGTCCCACAGACCTCCCTTCTCAGGAGGATCTAAGAGTTCTTACACAGCTCCCACTGTGCATTGGCAAAATCTGCTCAGGACTGTCTTCACCAATTTGTGTGAGCAGTTTCACTTCATATATTTTTTGAACATTTTTTAAATTTAAATAGCAACATTGGTTTATTCAGCATACACTCATAATTAGTTTCCTGTTGATTCCTTTTTGCCTCTCATTTCCAAGTGGAAAATTGTCACTCAGAGATGCTCTTTTAAGAGCAAGGTGCTTCCAAATTACCCGGAAAGATTCACACTGAGTCCAGATGAGTCTGACTTGAAAGAGAAGATGTTACAGTTTTCTTTCAGCTCCTTGTCAAGTTATCCTGAAGTTTTGATTGTTTATATGTGAGTATTGAATGATTAACACCAATGTACCAGGGCTGAGTTCCCAGTCCACCAGGGCCAGTTCAAGTTCCACCACTTAACTCACCAAACTTACCCAGTTTGCCAGTCAGCCTTCCAATGCAGGGTCAGATCAACCACCTCCACAGAGAAGAATCATGCAGCTGCACTGCTGTTCATGTCATTTTGTACCCATAAATCTACTTTCCCAGCTGTGGAAAGCTACACTAAACTCTCAGGAAGCATTTTCTTATGCAAGTATGAGATGGGTTGCAGAGCAAAGTGCCCAGATGCTGAATCAGGGCTGCCATCTCACTCATGATGGGAAAGGACATTGCTATGAGATTTTACATGATGGAAGTGGTGCAGCACAGCAAAGCTCCTGGAATAAAAGAGTTTGAAGAATTAATCAGCTTGTTTTGAGGCATGTTGGTAGCAAAGGACTTGACTTGAGGCTACTCATGTCTGACACTGTCTTTGCTTGCACAGGAACTATTCACATGGAAAGCATTTTTCCCAGTGTAAGTAACTCACAAAGACAACCAAGACCAGGGTATCTCAGGCTGAGTTCCCTTCCCACCCCCCTTCTCCTTTGAATAAATGAGCTTCCTTACACTCTGACAGACTAGGGAGATTAATTCAGCATGCGTGTGCATGTACACCTGGCAGACACAATAAAGGCTGGCTCAAAGAGCTAAAATGAAACAAAGGCATAAATAATTCTGGAGAAGGACAAAATATGGGCAGCCATTTAGTGGTGGCAGGAATTACTTAAGTAAAGGCCAAAACTTTAAAGAAACGAGGAGAAGATATTGATGAATATTTAAGGCTGGAACACGTGAGCATGTTGCTTTGCCATTTGGAAGGTTACGTTCCTGTCTTATCTGGCTGTGATAGACATGAAATTGGCTATTAAAATCTGATGCAGAAAAAAATTGTTATTGGTTAAGGGCCTATTGATGCCCAGATGTACTGAAACCAAGAGTCTTTTCATTCACTCAGGGCATCTAAAAAGGTCTTCGTCATTCCTGAGCCCAGCTACCAGCATGGAAACAAGCAAATAGCATAAAGCCCTCCAGATACCTGTAAACATGAACAGTACCACAAAAGCTTATTGGATCTAAACTGGAGTTTACAAAGACTGAACAGCATCTCCAAAGATATGTGCTAGCTGTCCAGATCAGCAGAACATTGTAAAGTCAAGTGAATGTCAGATAAAATTGAGTATATTTCATTCTATATCCAAGGGATGCAAAACTCAGTGCTTGTAGTTATGGGCTCAGGGATGTTTTTTATAACACAGAAGAAAAATCTTGACTTTATCATAGACAATTCAATGAAAACTTTTGTTCAGTACCTACCAAAATAGCAATTCAGTACTCAAAATAATTAGGAAAATAATAGAAGAAGGAAAAAACCCCCAAACTTTATTATGCCCCTATGTAATGCCCTGTTTGCTTGAGTCTTGCTCCTCATATATCAAAAGTTATGGAAAGCAATTAGAGATGAGCTGAAGAAGGGCAAGAGGAGTGATCAGAAATAAACAATGGCTTCTACATGGAGAATGAATTTGTCAATTAGATCTTGCCAACACAGTGAAGGTATGGCTGAAGGCAATACGACAGAGAGATACACAATGATGGCAGCAGAATAGGGGGCAAAGTGTTACATGCACCCATTTTCTTTCACACTTCCCTAGATACCTGCTTCTGACTGACATTGGAAACAGTTTATGGGCTAGGAAACTAGGATCTAATTTAATTCAGACACACTTGAAATTTTACCTAACGTATCCCATGAAACTCAGCAGCTGTAGAAGTTACATAGCTCAATGCGGCACTACAGTGTTATCAGATGTTATTTTCATATGGGATTTTCTCCCATTTGATTAGTTCATTTTTAAACCTTAAACAAGTCCATTCTGCCTGAATCCAGAGGAAAATGTGAAAACCATTTCATATTGCAGCTAACCCCCTTCTTGTCAGGTAGAGGTCATTCTTGACTGGTATAAATGACATAATCTTCAGTATTCTCTCACTTGCACTAAAGACCAAAGCAGCAGCCTCACAGATCCACAGTTAGTTGATAATTTTCTCTCTCTGCTTTTTTTTTTATTATTGTTCTGAGTACATACATCTCTCCAACATGTCACATTTCCACTACAGGCCATCAATGATGACCTTTAAATCCAGAAAGGGTTTTAGAGTGTTTTATATTGCAGACATTTAAAAAATATGATACAGAGAATGATGAACACAGTCGTATCAAATAGTTTCATTTATTGCAGTGATTTGTTTCAATATCAAGTTTTAACAGGGATAAAATTGGACAGCAAACTAGAACTTACTCACTTGACACACTTTGAATGGTCCAGATAAACACTCGACACCAGGACATGGGCTACTTGCAGTTAGCCAGAAGGTCTCTTCTTTGTTCTCACATCTGACTAATCTATGTTTGATATCAAGGGAAATCATTTAAGCTGTTCCATGGTGGAGAAAGAGAGCCTGTTTTAAGAAAAGGGAAATGGGAGAATTCAATCTCATGGCAGTTAAATACTATTAAATCCTATAATCTGCTGTACTGGGTAATCCAAAGAATGTTTAGGTTGTAAAACCAATGATGTATTTTCATTCTGAACTATCACAAGTGATGAAAGAAGTGATAGTTAGTTATGAATTAACCATAGTTAATATGAATATATTTTAGCAACTCCTGTAAAATCCACCAAGAATTTCCTTTTTTTAATATAATTTGGAAATACAAATTCTTCTAATAATATAGAGAAATTTTGGTAACAGGCATATTTGTCTGTACAAGGTATTTGCTCTAGTGTAATGAGCTATATCTCAGTAATATTCATAGGAACTCAGCATTGGAAGGGGCAATCTGATCTCCAGTGACAATGACAGTTTTCTGCAAGTGTCAAAAATTCGTAAATGCTAAAGGCTTCACAGAACATCTTCTGTCCTTTATTCACACAACACCCTCACCAGCCTGTGTTACTCTGAAAGCCTTCTCAGCTCTTGGTTATCTTCTACATTGCTGTTGTGAGGAAGAGAGATTATGCTTTAAAACAATGATGGGATGTTAAAAAACACAGAGTAGGGGCAGTCTGAGTGCAGAAGAAAGAAACCAGTAACTGAGAAAATTATGTCTTGCTTTTCCCATTTTAAAAAACCCATATCTTATGTGGGGGAAAAAGCCTTTAAAAATGAGAATTAAAGTGCAGCTCACACGCATCATAGAAGGACCAGAGGTCCAGAGATCCAGCTGCCACCACTGTTTGTGACTCTGTCTGCTCCTTCCACTTCCAACAGAATTCCTGATGCTCTATAGCAGTCTGAAAGATCAGCTAGAGGGTGGATTATCCCAGCGATGTTTCCTGAATGGTGGCTTTGATCTGAGATATCCATGGTCCAAGGTTTTTCTTCCATATTTTCCTCATGCCTTTAGTGCTTGAAAATATATGAATTTCATAGCCAGATGAGAATAATTATTCTTTTGCAGGGATAAACGCTGTTTAGCTGTTTTCAGACACTGGCATTCATTATTTCCCCAGTCATGCAAACCTGACCTCTTTATTGTAGGGTTTCAGTCTGTTTTTTGGGGGGCTGATTTTATCCTTGATTATTTTATCTTCCAATCCCATGTGAAAGACTCCAAAGAAATGCGCCATTACTTTCTGAAATCACAGAGAATCACTGAATTGCTTTTTTGAGTGACTGGCCTCTTTTAACCCTAGAAGTTAAGCTCAAAAAAAAAAGTATATAAAATAAAAAGGTAAACAAACAAAACCCACAGGAAATCTATTCATTTAGTGAAATAAATGTGCAGATGCTGAGCACAAGTCTCAGAGAAACTGGCCCTCCCATAAGCCTGCTTTCCCTGGAGGTACTAAAACTGCTGGGGCCTTTGCTTAGTCCCATAAGTACTTCTGAGCTTCTGCTTCTCTAGAAGCAAAGCCAAGTATTGCTTCACAACTCCAGGAATTTTCTGCATGCTTAAAGCCAAATTGAGCTGAACTGGTGTCCTCCATCCCAGCCAAGGTCTCTCATCCCTCCTGTTCCCAGCTATTATTAATGTAAGTCCAAATGTGTACCTGTGGTCTCTAGTAAGTACATTTTCCAGGAAAATAGTCACAGTTCCAGGAAAATAATCACTGCCACCTCATCTGCTCTGCCATCAGCTGTAGATTTCAGCATGCTATTCAGGCATGTATATGAATGTGGGCAGGTTTAGTCTGCTTTTGTATACTTTACATACTCAACGAAAGACAGACGTGTTACTAATATTCTGCATCTATGGGCACAGCTCCTTTCTCAGTAGAATCTGAGGGGGCTAAAGGCCTTCTGCATGGCTTCTGCAGGCTCCTGGAAAGTCTCTATCAGCTGCAGTAGTTTAAAAGACTGTTCGATGGCTTATTAAAATTATATCATTAACACCTAGTTATTCCACACTGCTTCATTTCTCCACCCAGCTGAGGGCAGGACCAGGATCCTCCAGGCCAAAAATCATCACCTTTAATCCACCTGTTGCTATTTAGAGTAATAGCACTGTCATCACTTTCAAAGGGAATTTAATTCTTCAGCTGTGTGATGTTACCATTCCTTTCACTCAGCTGTCTCAGGCCATTCAGTCACCTCTGAAGAACACATCCAGCTCCATTTGATGAGAACTTGTCCTGGGTTGACTATATGATGCTTTTATCCCCAATCGTCTCATTCTGTTTATGTTGAATAATAATAAGTTTTGTACCTTTAAGAGTGTTACAGAGAGTGAAGGGGGAGAGAGAAGAAGCGCGCAGTTTG